TATTATTATTATTATAAATAAATAGACAATGATTATTGACGGGTATGTGGCTCCTACAACCCGATTTGTTGCTGATAAGCAGAGAATCCAACAGGTTCACATTACACAATAATGGCAACTATAATACTACCATACAACGTTGGACATAAATATTGCATTTCCATTTCTAAGGTCCAAGGTTGGGGGCACTATAAATATCAAACGGCACCTGGAAGGTTCTGGCTCAGGTTATCTACTCAATGTCAGCACAGTACCATGTGGAGAAGATCAAATGGAGACATGTAAATTGGGGAACTAGGTTCAAATAATGAGTACAAAAACTATTCCATCTTTAATGCTACAGGGGAAGAGTAGATATTATACCATAAATATACAAAATACATGAATTTTCCTCACAATAAAATACATTTCAGGAAAAAAAGAATAGAAAAATATAATAGAAGAAAGAGGGTACCATACAAAATACATTAATAATATATACAAGTTGGGGGAGGTTAATATTCTTTTTTATAGAACAGATATAAAAGATCCCCCTCCAGTTGTTTTTATATTACAACATATACAAATAATCTGCTTGGAACAACAATGTGTGTCTTATATGTTCTCCTACTCCTTCTACCTAGTTAACAATTCCATAATCTATGAATATGCACATTTTTCTAAAATTTTCCTGTTGGACACAAGATGTCCATTCTCAGTGGATGTGCACTGGTGGCTTCAAGTTTCTACATCACACTGTATAGGTTGCATACTGGACCAGAAAAGACTTCCTGAACTATTTGTGATAATCATAGCAAGGCAGCACACACATCTGTAACTCCATTTCATCAAACAGACAGTGGCACAACCACCAAACCCCAAAACCTTTTCAGCTGATTCTTGAATTTGTTCATTTTGAATGAATGGTTGATCAAATCGACCTAATCGTTGTAACTGACAGGAGAGATGATCAGAGGGGTGGAGTTTTTACCACCATGACAAGGACCGGGGCTGAAGAATGGGTAGAGTTTCTCAGTGAAGGAACAGTCATTAAAGGTTTGGATAATGTCGGCAGAATCTACGTCAAAAAAGGAGACTGAACTTTTGTCGTAATCCACAAACACGCCCACCTTCTTCGGCTGATATTTTACATCGATTCCAGTCCTTAAACATATAGTCCAGTAGCCGTTCATGGGGCTCGCTGTGATTGATCCCTTTCTGTTAATTGACTCTTTGACGACACCTAAATCCCAGGAAGTCTTCCCCTTAACCTGAACCTCGTAGTAAAATCTCCCCGAAGAGAAACTCTGCTTTCCCAAAACATTACTAGCAGTATTAAATCTTTCCAGGTTGTCTGGGAGATTTTGTTTTATGCCACCACAGTAAACTTGTTTCCCATCGTCAGATAAAATGAGGTAGGGATTTGCTGTATTAGGATCTAAAGTCACATCCTTTGCAAACTGCTGGACCCTGTTCAACTTGGCCTTATCGATCAGCTTCTTCATCTGTTTACTGAGCGTCTCCTCCAGCTGATTCACAGCTGCACCCACGCTTCCCCCATAAGATGGCGGAGGAATGGTGACTTCTGTCCAGTTTTTGGTGGTTGGAATAGCATTCAGGGATGAGAACCGATTCAGGAAGTCGGGGTGGTCTTCAGTACGTGAGAGCTCCTCCATCTTAGTGCTTTTCTTTGTCAGCTCGGAGATTTCCTGCTCCAGCTCTTGGATGAATTCTTTGGCCTGTTTCAGTGTCTCTTTTCGCTTTTCATTAATGGCTTCGATGAGAGTATCCAGACTTGTCTTGACGGACTGCAGCAAAGCAGTAAACACCCGCTCACTGTCTGCAATATGTCTGTCTGCAGATTTGCTGCTGAGCTCTGCTGAGTGTCTGATTTCTCCGATCTTCATCTGTCTCTCCCGGATCATCAGCTTAATTTTAGCCCCAAACTCAGCCTTCTGTCTTTCATAATCACTTTTGAGGAGAACAGATCCATGGTTTGTGACATCTAAAACGAGGAAGAACACAAAAACATCTGATCAGTCTTACAGAATACCTCTCTGTGATGTTTTGTTTACATGTGTAAATTCATATTCTAATGTCCAGTTGAGTTTTTTTTCCCCCAATCCCAATCCCAATCCCGAGAGTTATAAAATATTGGGTATCTACTGTTACCAAGTCTGAGCAGATATTTACCTAAATGTTGATCAAACTTAACACAAACTAACAACCGCAGTCAACTAAATTTGGCCCACTTTATCTTTTATGTGCTACCTAATCCAAATACTGAAGGTCCAGTTTCAACTATTTTATAAACTTAAATTATTGACATATAAATGAAAAATTAAAGTTTAACTGGAAGACTCCTGACAATGTGACTCAGTTACTAGAGAGAATGCGTATCACCCTTTTATAGTTGAGGGAACCTCAGAAACACTCAACAACAACAACAACAACAACAACAATAGTTCTTTGCTCAAATGATCTTTGTCTTGAGTATCATCACTGGCAGCAGAGCGCACTTTAACTCAGGGATAGGGCAATTACCGGATCTGATCTGTCAGCGTTTTTTCCATATATTGGAATCTGTGTTTTTTAAAACCAGATTGCTGACTAAATTAATTAGTTTAAAAATGCTACTTTGGCTGTGATGTCCGCAGTCACCACTCTGGAGTTTTGTTTATTATCTTGCCCCTATATAATTCGATACAGGTCACAAGTAATGACTGCTGTGCCGCAGAAGAGGAAATTTTAATAATCATGTAAAATACAAATTGTACTGATGTAGACCACTTTATTATAAATTTTGACACTAAGATTGACATTAATTACTGCAATTGTATATCAATTGCAAATATGTGGTATCAGTTACACTGATTGCTGATAATCAGTATCTAAATCGACCCTGAAAACAACATATCGGTCGACCCCTACCTCAAACAGAAACGTTTCATTGTGGGCTGTTATAAAGTTACTCACAGAATTAACGTTAATTAGTGGCGTTTGTCATTTTAACAATTTTAACAAAACACTAAAACAGTAAAGAAAGGATCTGTTTTCTTTTATCTGATACTGATCCAATAAAATATGCTGATCCTACAGATAGGGGATCTCTCTAGATATTATTAAAACCTTATTACTGTTTAAGCACTTAATCCATAATGAATTTACTGATTTACAAGACGCATGTAAAACCCTTTTGTAGTAGGAGTTAGCAGTTACCTTTTGCCCCCGAGCTGGAGTTTTGCAAACGCTGCACCAGGTCATTCCTGCAGATCTTTTCTAAAACCTTCAAGGTTACCTTCAGAGCTCCAGGACCCTGATATTTCTGTACCATTAGATCCACTGTGTCCTGCCTGTCTGCTTTCTCCAACCAAGCCACTGGGATGCCTGTAAAACCCTCCAGGATGTAATCCTGCTTCAGGAACCACTTGAAAAGCTTAAACTCATCTTCTCCTACATCCTGCAGAATATTCCAGAGCTCCTCCGTAGCTTTCCCCATTTTGGCTCCCTGCAACAAAAAATAGAAAGTTTTCAATCAGATGATTTCAAGCTGAACGCATTACTTTCGCAGTGGCAGCACAGCGCATATGACCCTCCCTGTTCTGACTGATTGGCTAGTAGTCATTGCATCACCATCACTCACTACTATTAGCGTAGTTGTTG